AGCTTGATTTGTGCATGTTTAATCTACAATTCCAATTTCCAAATCTTCACAGATCACCTAGGAGAGAAGAGAACACATCTAATAAAGATCAGTCTCAAAGACAGAAGACGTTACAATTTTTACAACCATTCTGGTTAAAAAACAAAACAAACTCACAAAAAATAAACAAAAAACCATGCTGCTGCCATCTTCCAATTCAGGAACTGTAATTCACTGTGGCCCTCAAAAGGCATCTCTTTAGTTTACCCAAAGGGGAGAGTTGTTCTTTCCTCCACCACCACAACTCCTCATCCCCTTAGCCCAGCTGTAACACTCAGTCAATCATACAACAAGGATATTTGGTTTCCTAGCTTGTCAAAATACAGCTTTGATAGATTTAATTTCCTGCCACTTAAGCTGAATTAGTTTATCACTTACTCTTAATCTGAATGTGAGACAGAGCAAAGTAAATGCAGCAGAAAAGGAAACCAGAAAGGACCACTCTCCCTCCCCTTGTAAAAGCAAGCTATTACATTGGCCCAGGCCCTTGTGCAAAAGTCTCACCCAGCCTGGTTGGTGGCTGAAGGGAGACGGAGAGAGAACGGCCTCTTGTCAAACTGCCAGCACAATTTGATTCACCCAGCAGCCGAGACCAAGAACTCCACTCCCTCCTGGTTAACCCAATGAGATACTGCCAGCTGACTCCTCTACTACATTTCAGTACATTCTTCTTGATCTCGGTATCTTTATCCAGCACAGAAACACTGCATTCAGTGCCAAGTGCTGAAAATCAAACCAATGAAAGCTGCACATGCAACAAAGCCAAAAAACAACAAAACCCAACAAAACCAATCAAACCAACGAAAGCTGCACATGCAACAAAGCCAAAAAACAACAAAACCAATCAAACCAACGAAAGCTGCACATGCAACAAAGCAAAAAAAAACAAAAAACCCAACAAAACCAAAACGAACACACAATGCCCTACAAAACCAACACAAAAAAAATCCCAAACAAAGCCCCTAAACACCCACCTAACCATCACCACAATATCATCATTGCTGGCTTGATTCAGGGTGCTAAAGGCTCTGTTGAGCAAGAACTCCCAGTTTTATCCAACACTTGGGATGCTGATGTGTAACAAAATCGTATCTTTATTACACATAGTGGCAACAACTGAAAAAATATTCCACAAATTTAGAATGCCATTCTTAACCTACTGGTGTATACTTCAAAGTACGGCTGGTATTGCTAACAGTAGCTGCATGTCTAGACACAAGAAGTCTACTTTTATGGGGCACCTAATAATCAGCCCAACCTCTTGTGTCGTGTCTGTTGCCATGACAGCATAAAACCAACACCTTTCACTTCTGATCGAGCTCATCAAAACCTGCAAGTGTAGATGCTGCCTCTGCCTCAGACATCCTCTGAACCACAGGACACAGGAAAGTGGGGTAACCATCGCTACACACTTGCTGGGCTCCACTGCACAACTACTCCTGGCTAGTCCTTGAGAAAGCTTAGGAGGCCAGGCAGAAAACCAGGACCCATCACTCCTGAATCAGGAAGTGATTTAAAAAAACACACACACCACACAAACACATCTTTGCATGTTTGACAAAGTTGTTGCAATGGTGTTTCTCTGTGCCAGTTACACCCTGGCACAGGACTGGAATTTCCAAAGTGTAACAGCCCAGCTCTGGCAGGAATATACCAGTGCCCAATTTATTAAGTCAGCATGGATTAAAAGCATTCTCACTGTAGTTAAATCATCCTACAGTTGGCATATCTCCAGCATCCAGCGCTAATTAACTGGCAACAGGTTACCAGACTACATTCACATTCCGGTGTGGGGAGGGGGGGGAGGTTAAGGGGCAGGGGAAAAGTGTTACTGCTATCTAATCAAACTTCCCTAGTACATGCAAAGATTCTCCTCCAAGCATTGTTTAGAGCCAAAGAAGAATCTAGTCTAGGGGTAGTTAGTAAAAGAAAATCCAAATTTTCTAGTTAAATTGGTACTGCAGCTAATTAAACTCACTATTAACATGCATTTAGATCTGACATGTCTATGATTCACTTTTGCTTGCCATCACGTCTGAAAGCTGAAGCTAGTTTAAACAGTTATTTATCATCAAATTCCTGTTCCAGTTTGGCATATGTAGAATATTAGTACACTAAAATTTCTGAACAAAGAGGTGCCTCTAGTTTTTGCTTTAAACACCAATCTGTTTTGACATGCTCATAGCTCCTTTAAAAAAAAAAAAAAACCAAACACTTGAACTTTACAAATCTTCTCCCCTACAGCAACACCAGAACTAAATGAAGCCATACCAACAAACATGATACTAACAAAACTTATTCTACAACAGTGACATCCCCTAGTCCCGCTAGGGATTTTTCCCCCAAGTGATCTATTCAACATCACCACTGGGGGGCTGTCCACTTCATGTGGGCACCACGCTTTAGCTCTGCATTATCAC